TTTTTTATGAAAAAGACACAAAACTGTTCTGTTTTCACGGCATTATGTAGATGAAATGACAAGTTGTCATTTAAGAAGTTAATAAACAGTCACCATTTTGCAGGTTATCCAAATGCTACTGAATAGAAAACCTTGGATCCCTAAATGATGTGTAATTAAAATTATTTAAAAAATCCTCCTTGACAGGCCAGGGCTTAGCCAAAATGTAAATGACATTAAAGAAGACAATGAATTTAATTTTATTTAATGTCCCTTTTTGCAGATCCTCATTTACATAGCATTTTTAACAAAAGCGTTGACCTTATAAATGCTGGCATTTGTACAGCTTCGGCAGAGTTGGATTTAATCATGCTTTCGCAAAGCCATAAGGGAAAAAGCTTTAAGTTCTCTGGTTGGATATGGAGTAGGAATAAAAACATTGGGACTGGTCAAATGTTTATCCTCCTTGCTTCTGAAAACAACCTGACAAGAAGATGTAAAGGTCTAGGGAATAACCCATTGCTGTTTGTAAGGCTCGGTAATAATCATACATAATCGTTTGGAAATATAGCTAATAAAAAATATAATGAGTGTTCAGCAAAATCGGCATTAGGCCCAAATTACATGATATTAATACTTGAACAGGTGCAGAAAGGCGCTTTAAATGAGGTAAATGAATAAAATGTCCCAGAGCACAACTGTGTGCACTGACAAAAAGTCAATCACATGAATAATTCAGTGACTAGGACTGCCAGCAAAGGTCGCCTTTCTTTGACCTTTGTGACAGGAAGTGAAAGGAAACACTGTTGACTAAAAAAAAAATAAAAAAATAGGAAAAAACTCCCAGCCGCCTCCAGCGCCCGCCGCACAATTACTTTAAAGGTGTAAACTTGTGGTTTAAATGAACTAGGGCGCTTCAGCGGGAATCCGCTGCAGAGAATCCCGGCGTGAGCGGGCGGCTCGTGCACGGAAAATAATGCGGGAAATAAAGCGGGCAGCGAGAGGTTAAGGGGGTGCCTGCGAGCGGTGTCAATGCTGTGCAAAATCTGAGGTCAGCTGAAAAGCATTTTAAGAGCCTACAGGATTGAAATTTTGTAACAGCTGTTAAATATGACAAAACTTTTTATTCCCCCAAACTAGAGCTATTCCAAACTCTGTACGAACGAAATGGGATAAACAGATGTCTGGCTTCCCTACAGGAAAGTAGGACACCCTTGGAATGATAAGTCTCCTAAACGCCATAGAATAAGGCCAGATTTATTGGGGAGGGGGGCCTGTGCTACCCCCGGAGATGCCAAGCCGCAGCGTGGCTGCGCTGGGACCATCTGGAAAAGCGCTGCGGCCGGCGCTGCGCGGCGAGCGCATTCCGGGGGCACGGGCGGCCCCGCCGCCGCGCCAGCGCCGAGCTGCCACTTCGTGTTTGGAGAGGAATGTAATCCGGCCCGCCCGGCCCCGCCACAATCACTCTTTTCAGTTTTCAACAGTTGGACACTGAGCCTTCGTATACATTCGAGGCAAACAAGGCACGGAGAAGCCGAGAGGATGCATCTTGCCGGGAATTTCCATACCTGCTAATAAAGCACTCCGCGATGGCACCGAGGAATTGTTTTAGCACACGGAGTGGTTTTGGTTTAGCAGTTCCAGCGGCACCCTGTAATCATTTACAGCCATTGGAATGTATGGGTGAAATAGGATAGATTTATCTGTTCATAGTTGTGATATGTAGACAATGGGTGTTCCTAATGAGGAACATCTGCTTTTGTGTTTTCCCAGAAAACATTATTCCACTATGAAAATGATACTCCCATCCTTTTCAGCAACACCGCAAAGAAAATATGGGCCTTTTCCTTTCTTTTATTTGCTTTTCTTTGGGTCAAGCTAATTTCCCAGGGACACTTCTTTTCTGTGGCATCTTTTTACTGACTACACTGCAATTTATGGTGGGGTTGTTCTTTACTATGTGAGTTACTGTGTTGTCTGAATAGCCCTGATACGCTAGAATATATTTAAATGTATACTGTAATAAAACTGTATATCCTCAGCCATGCTTCCTGAGAAAAAGCAAGTTGATGTAAGTAAATATTCCCAGCGAATTAAAAGGTTGGGAAGGCGTGCAAAATGTAAAACTGTTTCCATGGCCTTTGTCTTTTTTGTTTTTATGTTTAAAATCTACTGCAGGATTCAAAGGTACAATTTACATAAGTTTCCTCAAAGTATTTTAAACGTTAAGAAATGGGCACTCCTGAAGCGCCAGAGTTGGGCTTTTTTCCCCCCCCGCCTTTTCTCCTAGTGCAATAAACAATTCAGATCCTCACCCAGACTCTCAGTGTGGGCTACACAAACGGGTGGCCATAGATCTCAATTCAGGGTTGAATTATTGGTTTGTATCCCGAGGACAAATATGCCTTATCTGGTCAAAAGCTGCTAAACGTATCCAAAGGACAAAGGGATCTCCCGAAACATATTGTATATAATTCTTTCTGTAAGCCAGCATAACACTTCTTATGGGCAACTGTAAATT